GCAGAGCCGGCTGCAGGGGCAGCTGGCCCAGGTGGGCTGAGCGCTGTGTTGGCGGAGACGGGGGGCGGGGGTGTGGGCCAGCTCCCAGCCTCCTGCGTTTGGTCCCAGGGTGAGTCGCAGGCTCAGGAGCCCACCTGGGTTAAATACAGCCCCACCTGCTGACTGGGGACCCGGGACAGGCCGCCCCACCCTCCCTCTGCCTCTGTCATCCACCTGGAGCATGGGCTGAGAGTTCCTGGCACAAAGGGAGAGGCTGCAGGGAGCGCAAGGAAACTGGGCAAAACACCTGGCAGGCAACCCCACGGTGCAGATTAACTGTGGTAACGGGCCAAGACCTTGAGATTGGACTCTTAGGCTTTTGGGGACATCATAGCTGGAAGGGACCCCAGAGCTTCAGGGCAGGGACCTGCGTGCAAAGTCTGTCCTGGAGGGCCCAGGTTCCTGGGAGGGGTCCCCAGAGGCTGGGGCAGGGGTGCAGAAAGCGGGCTGCAGTTTCCTGAGGATGGCTGAGTTCCCAGCTTGTCTGCAGGTTTTGGGGTGAAGAAGGGGTCCTGCTGCTCCTGGAGCTGAGCGAGGACCTCACATCTGCATGCATGTGCACTGTGGGTCTGGAGAGGGCTGTGGTTTGCCTACTGCATCTAGCACAGCAGGGCAGAGCCTGGGCTCAAACCCAGGCCTGCTGCCTGTCAGGTCCAGAGTTGGGATTCTGCATGGTAGACAGACTGCGGATGCTGGGAACTGTGCTCACAGTCCCTGTACGGGGCCAGAGATGGGGTGCCGCATAGAGGACAGGCAGATGGGCACTGGGAGCAGTGCTCATGGTCCCTGGATGCAGCCAGGTTTGGGGTGCTGCATAGTAGACAGGTCGGGGGTACTGGGAGCAGTGCTCACGATCCTTGGATGGGCCAGAGGTGGGGTGCTCCATGGAGGACAGGCTGGGGGTGCTGGGAGTGGTGCTCACGGTCCCTAGATGGGACCAAGGTTGGGGTGCTCCATGTTGGACAGGCTGGGGGTGCTGGGAGTGAAGCTCGTGGTCCTTAGATGGGCCAGAGGTGGGGTGATCCATGGTGGACAGGCCAGGGCTACTGGGAGTGGTGCTCACGATCCCTGGATGGGGCCAGGGTTGGGGTGCTGCACGGTAGACAGGCCGGGGATACTGGGAGCAGTGCTCACGGTTCCTGGACGGGGCCAGCTCTCCCGGCAGCTGAGCGGGCGGGAGCAGGAGCTGGAGCAGGCCCGGCGGGAGTCGCAGCGGCAGGTGGAGGCGCTGGAGCGAGCGGCCCGGGAGAAGGAGGCGCTGGCCAGGGAGCGGGCCGGCCTGGCCGTGCAGCTGGCAGCCGCAGAGCGTGAAGGCCGGACCCTGTCGGAGGAGGCCACACGCCTTCGGTAAGCCCTAGGCTCTGTCCAGCCACCCCAGGGGTCCTCCGGGGCCCCGCCACAACCGGCCACGCCCAGGTGTCAGTCCCCAGGACAGTTGCTCAGGAGCTGGCTGCCAACACATCCTGGCTGTGGCTCAGGCCCCAGGGAGCGTGGGCCGGCTGGTCAGGTAGGCTGGCACTGGGTCCACGCCTGGCCACGCCCTGAGATCCACAGTTTCCTGGGGCTGGGGAGGCTGAGTTCCGAGGCCTCAGGGACTGTATGTGTTGCATGCAGCTTGGAGAAGGAAGCCCTGGAGAGCAGCGTGTTTGAAGTGCAGCGGCAGCTGACCCAGCTCGAGGCCCGCCGGGAGCAGCTGGAGGCTGATGGGCAGGCCCTGCTGCTGGCCAAGGAGGCCCTGACGGGTACGAGGGCCTGGGCTGGGGGGAACACCAGGCTCCAGCCCAGACTGCAGCCTGTTGAGTTCTGGGGCCTCACGGAAGTTGGGGGCACTGGTGTGAGAGCCTGGCTGGCCTGGGTTCCAGTCCTGCACTGGGGATCACTATGATCTGATCTGTCCTCAAGCAATTCCCTTCCCTCTCTGGGCTGCAGACTCCACTTAGAGTTAGAGGAGATCGTTCCCACCCTCTAAGCTTGCTGCCAGGATGAGGTGACAAAGGCACACAAAAGCCTCAGCACAGCGCTTGGCTTGGCCTGCTATGAGAGCTCACGTTCTCTGTGGAGCTGTTGGCTCTTTTCTGGCTTTGTTCCTGGCCCCACAATCTCGGCCCTGCCTCCCCCGTGTTCCCCACCTGGCTCTGAACCCATGGCTTCTTCCCGCTCACTTAACACGAACTGAGCGCCTGCTTGGGTCTTGGAAATTAGTCTTCCTGTCCAACTACACCTGACCAGACAGAACGGAAGGGAAGGCTGCGGCGTCCAACGTGGGAGGTGGTTTTTAGGTGGTCCGTGGTGGGCGGTGCCTTCCCATAGTGACCCCCGTGTGTGCTGACGGCTCATGCTGGGCTGTCAGTCATTAGAGGAGTACTCTGTGTACAGCTGGGCAGCTTGGAGGAAGCTCGAGCCCCTGTGAGCCTCACTGCCTCACCTGCAAGTGGGATGAGGATAGTCGAGCTGGGTGTGTCATGAAGACAAAGTGAGATTACATCCAGAGGGTACTCAGCCAGGCGCCTGCCCCACAGTAAGCGCTCAGTCAAGAACAGGGTGGTGCTGGGCTCGGTGGCTCAGCCTGTAATCCCGCGCCTTTGGGAGGCTGAGGTGAGT